CTAAAGGTCTGAGCGTTCGTACGAGTAACAACTATAAAAGGAGGGCCCTCTAGATAGTTCTTTTCTGTATCTTTCTTCTTCTGTACAATAGGTGAATGCATACTCGTTAGTTAGGCCTCTCTCGCCCATAACAGTAATTATAGAAATATCTCTAGCGCGTATAGAGCTTAGCAGTCTACTTAATAAAGTTATTAACCTAATTTTTACTAATATAGTTGCTACTACGCTTTTTTAATAGTTTATTAGCTATTACTTAAACCTTAGCCTTTATAGGGGCAAATCCACGCGTAGACTCTTTAAAAATACGTCTAATAATAGCCTCCTCTTCTAACTTATTTAGGCGCTTTAAATTTAGTTTATAGTCGCTTTAGGGGCGCTTTCTAGCCTATTAATTAGAAATTGTACTTTAAGGCACGTTATAGATAGAGGTAGCGCGTCTTTAGCTTTAAATATATTATAATTAGATATGAAAAAGAGTAAGTTGAAAATTTAATTTAGAATAAGTGAATTAATAGTTGTGTTATTAAGACATAACGCGTTGTAGTATCAACGTTGACGCGCTAGTGGGGAGTGACTAACTCGCTTGGGTGACTAACTCGCTTATGAACCACGTTAGTAGTTTTGGTATTTAAAAATACTAATGCTTTAGCTACTAAAAGCTAAGTGATAAATTATATACTTTATTTGTTTTATTTATTTATATACTCAGTAGGTAATAGAAGCCTATTTAAGTTTCTTAATCTCTATTAGAAGTGATACTATTTCCCTTTCGCGATTTACTAGAAAATTGTAAGGTACGCGTTATCTCTACGAAGGAGCTTATATTTAGAGTTTTAGCACTATATTGCAATTCCTATAACTATCTGTTAGAACCATAATATAGTTTTAAACACCGCCAACACTATACATGAAGTTGGGATTGCGAAGTAATCGGCGAGGGTAACGTGGCTGGCCGGCGGCGACAACAGTGCTAACTAATCACCAGCGCTTTAATATTCCGTAATCTTTAGTTAAAGTCTATGTTACTTCTGCTTTTAAAAACTATTGTTAGAAGCTTTGCGGCAAAGCCTGTTTTATAAATAATGTTACGTGTTTGCTAGAGACTCTTGCTAGCTCTTTATAGACATTTACTATGTTATAATACTATCTACCTATTGTGTATTAGGTACTAGGTATAGTACCTTACCGCTATTAGATGTTGTGTACTCTACTGCGTTGTGAAAGCCGCTGCGTCCGCACGCTAAAATCACTCATAAAACAAATAGTTTTACATACATGTGCATGCAGCTCCTTATAGATAGAAATTGTCAACATGTTTTTGAATTACATTTTTTGTTTTTAATTATATTTCTACGTTGTTCTTCTGTATAGGAGTGTGGCGAGATAGGGACATACTAAACACAAGCAAGCTCCTTTGTACAGATCTCGCTTCTAACAGCGACATAAGCATGGGCCAATGTCCTTGTCATGTTAACCAAAAACCAGTCGATAAATTGCACACGAACATATCATATGTAGGTAGCTACGTCACTGCGTAATGCATTTGTCGTGATTCAATATGGTGGTGATAGCGGTGGTTATAACAATAGTCGGAATGTCATAACATGTTAGCGGTGCCATGAGTGATACATTTTCGATCTGCACTGGGGCTTAGGGAAGGGGAAGTGTTTTCACCGAGACACGCAGTGGTATGATATGTTATTGATTCCTATCCGGCTATCTTGGTAGTTACGACCCTATGTACGTGCATCACATGAGCATCATGTGATAAGTCAGCTGACTGACAAGACATCACGTGCGAGAAGGTAGCGCGCCGCGTTTTGTTGGGTGCTTCTCACGACTTGACACGGCCGGCTATTATCAACAAACAAACTGACATCAGCTACCCAAACAACTCGCAACAGTTCCGTCTTACCCCGCACAAAGTAAAACGACAAAAGTTTTAGACATTATGCCAGCTGCCGAGCAAACGTCTGCCGATGCCCGCCGAAAGGCCGCCAGGGAAGTCATTGATATCCTCCACGAGATTGCGACACTACTGGTATGCAACCACGCACGCGTCAGTGTAAACCACGCAACCGACTAATCTTTGGGGCCCAGAACACGCATCTGGACCGGCAGCAACTGTCGTACTGCGTATCGCTGATTGAAAACGGGGCGAATCCAGAAGCACTGGCGGTACGTAGGGGTGGCACCTCTCTGACCTTTTGCACTGTGTGTGGCACAGCCGCTTGACTTGGCGCGCGGTTCGCCATGATGATATTTATCGCTGTTATGATTATCTCAAACAGCCATGTTGCACAGCAGTATATCTGTTTTACCCTAAACATGCTAATTCGGGGGCGGTAACAGAAAGTCATCCTGCAGCTACGCGAGGAATACCCAACGAGTTCCATTGACGGCGATGCAGAGGCTGGTGCAGCCGCGCGCTGAACGGGGCGGACAAGCACGACTCCACTGCACTGCATTTCACGCCTTCCCCGGAGTCCGAGGAGCAGCAATAATAGTAGCAGTACTATGATGATCTAGCATGTTCTCCGTCTCATCACATGCATTACAGCCGACGGGAGAAGAGAGAGTAACGATTGCCTCTCTTGCGCCATTCACCCTGTTATCAGCGCAATCACACGTCACCAGCCACCATCCAGACCATTACTACTCCACCACAACCCGCAGTCGCACTAGGTGTACTTATTAAACAAAACAAGAAAAACGACCCCCACACTCCCCCTTCTCCGGTTTCAAACATACATGCATACACACACACATATACGCTTGGCATGCACGCCCCTCGACGCAAGCCGAGCCCGCAAAGTTTCCTAGTTACACCCCTACGAAGCTCCATCCCACCATATCACATCACATACGTACCCCGCCATTGGGACGGGGTACCAAAGAAGAAAAGAACAAAAAAGTCAAATCAACGACGGCATACACGTACTTACTTTTACTTTACATACCGGGGCGCGTCAGCAGCCACCACGCCACATTCATCACAATGTAGCGGGGTAAAGTCAAAAAGCAATCAGCAAGCACCACCAAGAAGACAGAGAGATAGAGACGATGTTCTTGACTGGTCTCAACAAGACCAGGGAGAAGTACTTAGGTGTACAGGGCATGAAGTGCGCGCACTGATATCAAACCCTAAAAAAAAGTTGAGAGGCGCTGGGGTAGTATGCATGCATGCATCGTTATCTATCTATCTGTACGTCTCTCTGTGTGTGCATGTGTGTGTGTGCAACGAGGATCACGCATTGTGGTTGGGTTGGGGTTGGGCGGGAAAAGCGTTGGTCTAGGTTGTCTTTGGTCTTAAAGGGCTTGTCTTGGTTGGCTTGGGTTGTTGGCTTGGTTGGTTGATCGGTTGGTTAGTCGGTCGATCAGTTGGCTTGGTTGGCTTGGTTAGCTTGAGTCAGTTGGTTGGTTGGTTGGTTGGCTGGACGGCGGGGGAGGGGTCGACAACATGGAAAAAGCGGCGGGCGCACGGCGCGGGGCACCCAGCAACCAAACCAAACCGTAATACCCAATACCCTTGCCCTGTCGCGATAGGAATAAGCCGGATAACATAGGCATAGACATAGCTAAACTACCTAGCATCAAGCGCATCATCAACGAGTGGAATCCCCCCACTCCCCCTCCCTCCGTCCCTCCCTCCGTCTCCAGTTTGACGAGTCTGACTGTATCAGTATGTATGCACCAAATCGAGTAAGTAATGGCGTATGTAGAACGGGGTATTTCGGAGTCCCGTCCCCCAACAACCGAGGATTATCTACCTCATCTCGTCTTATTATCCTGTCTTGTTCCAGTCACCCTCGTTCTCGGTAGCGTCCAAGAATCCGGCCTAGCGCCAGTGTGATTGGACAAGGGGGGGAAAAGGAAAGGGAAAAGAAAGCTATCAAAGGTCCACCGTAATAAGGTCAGGCGGACGCGAGGAGGAGGAGGAAGGGGGGGCCGGTCATTGGGTATCGGTATGTTGCATAGATTGGTGTTAGTGCGGGAATGGCGTCATGGGAAGGGATTGGGGCGATTAGAGGCATAAAGCACGCAGACGGACAAGGCAAGGTAGGTGTGGCACACACACACACAAGCGGTTGGGTTGTTAAGCAATCATTTCTACTATCTTGTACGCGTTGGTGCGAGACTAGTGTAGTGTAGTGTAGTGTAGTGTAATGGTAGATAGAGAGACACAAGCTCCTGATAACGGACGTTGATTACATGGGGAACTGAAAAGAGTTCAAAGACGCCCAATACTGTAGGTTTGTAGGGAAAGGAAAGGAAAGGCAAGTAAAGTAAAGTAAACCCGGCAACTAAAGCAAAAAACGCAGAATGCATGCTGTCAAAACAATAGCGATTGGTTGGAGGGTATCATCGGGTCAACGAGAGGAATGTTGGAGGGAGGGGTATCTTCCGGTCAGAACAGAAAGAAAAGAAAAGAAACTTCGCTGCAAGCGATAGCAATAGTAGAGGTGTATGAGAACAGAAAAGAAAAACTCCAGGCCTGCTCAGGGCTATATGGTGTAAATAGGAGAGTGATTAGAAATGAAGATTCTATCGGCTTCCCCAGGTAGGAGAGCCTTGACGTTGGCGGAAGTTGCCCTTTGCGTCTGCGACTTTTTGGAGCGCCTTTACGGCTTTTGCTTCGTGCTTGTTGAGGAAACCGTTGAAGAGGACGGGGAGGACACGCTTCGAGTCTAGAGTCTGTTAGTATGCGGTTATTACAGACAAGAGGTAAAACGTACTGGCATGGTCGGGATCAAAGAGAATGCCGTCGGCACCCCTCTCGCCCGCCACCTTGACGGCTTCTTCCAAAAGTCCCTCGCCGACACCTTTGCCGCGGTACTTGAGCTTGACGGTCCATGCGCGCACAACGGCCTTGCCTCTCCTCCTTCTTCCGCGCTTCTTTGCAGCGTCATTGTCGGCCCAGCCCAAGACCAAGGATCCGATGACGTCTTCACCCCACTTGACCACAATGAGCCTGTCGTCACCAAGCCAATCCATGTTGATCTCCTCGGCCATGGCAATGTAGCCGCCCGTCATCCACCGCACAAAGATGAGAAAGGTCATGGTGATGCCGCCAATGGTCGTGGCAAGCATCATCTTGTCTTGGTACCAGCGCAGCATGTACTGCGCGGCGATGGCGACGGCGACGGCGTAGGCGGCTAGCGAAATGGGGTGGAACATGAGCTCTTTGCTGGCAACCTGGCGCTGCTGTGCGACGGAGTCGGCGACTAGGCGCAGGCCCTCGATGCGGTCCTCTTCCGTCTCGGCCGTGTATGTGGATAGCTGGGGCAGTTCGTCGGCAGGCGCCTTGTTGGGGGCGCTTGCTTGGGCGGACATGATTTCTGTTTCAGCGGTAGAGACGTAGGGATTGTATGGGGCCGTGGTGGTTGAGTAGGATAGCGACGTGTGGGGGATTGGCTGGAGAAAATTGTTCAGACGGAAGTTCGTCGGCGTGGGCAGCGGCGAGGGGCAGTCGGGATCGATGTTGAGATTGGCGCTCAGCGAAGTGAGGAATGCTGTTGTTGCGCGTTAGCCATGGCAAGTCGCAATAGCCGTGTAGGTTTGAATTAGGGCCGGTAGCTCCTCGCAACACGCGGGAGGGGGAAACACATGTCCAAACATACCAGCGCTGGTCCTGAATCCTGGTAGCGACGGAATGGCAGGAATGGCCTTTTCAATGCCCGAGTAGTGGTTGACGACGACGGTATCCTGTCCCAGAAATTGTTGCCGTGGAAACGCATGAGGGCCCGGGGGAACCTTGAGATGACTGGGCGGGAGCTGGCGACGCATCTTTATCACAACAGGAGTCCGGCAGCAATATTCTCTTGTGGCGGGCTAGAATTGCAGACGGCGCATGCGAGTGTTTGTGTTATGCGGCAACGAGGACGGGAAGCGAAGAAAAAGGGACCAGCCAGGAATAGGAAGCAAAGCACGTGGGGCAGCCGACGAGATTAAACCAAGGTAAGAAGAGGGCAATAAAAGGGCTCGAGGAGAAAATAGACTGGGCTGTTTTTTAGTAGCGGCAGCGACGTGAGCAAAGGGCTGGAAAGGGTTTAGCCAGGCAAGGCGGGCAGAAGAAGAAAAGCGAAGCAGGGAGCGGGACAAGCGTGCGTTAAAGTATCGGCCTAGCAGCCAAGACACGGTGAAGGCAGAGGGTGTTTTGCGCTTCAGCTCGCGCGGGCGGGCATGGGCGGCACAGGGCAGCGACTGGTCTCGACGGCCGATGCCGCTGCGGGAGGCGATGGATGCGTGGTGTTGAGTGTGAGTGGCCGGGAGGCGGCGACGACGACGACGACGACGACGACGACAAGACCAAGACCGACGAGGGTGAAGGCGGATGCAGATGCGTCGAGGCGTCGATTAGAGCCCGGGCGACGATCCCAACAGGCCCACTCGTCCCAAGCCCCGGGCCTGCCCTGGTCTGCTCTGCTTCAGCTGTTGTCGTGAAGCCGTGCTGATTGGAGGCGCTGCACCGCGATAAGACGCCTGTCGAGCCTGTCGGCCAGCCATCAATCAATCGGCCGTTGCTGCGTTGGAGCGCACGATGCGAGCAGCTGCAAGCCGCGTGTGTGAGTGCATGTGCCGGGGGCGAGGGCGAGGGTGCGGGGGCGTGTATTGGTGGTTGATGGAGGAGCGGCCGTCGTGTTTCGGTCTTGTTCATGCTCGACGTCTTGGCCTCGGCGTGCCCATAGCACCGCCCGTGGCAGAAGGTGCCGGCCACCACTACTACACGACAACAAGCATTCCCTCTGCTTTCCCCCCCGCCATCCGCGCCTCAGTCACTTCATCCACCATCACCATCCATGGCCGCTCGCCCGCGTTGGCTGTGCGCCCAACGGTCGGCATGGGGACGCCATCTGGACGCCATCTGTCATCCTGGCCGCCGCCTGTCAAGCCGCTGCAAAGTTCCGTCATGCGTGTATGCGTCTCGTCGACCGCGCTCACGTCACCAGCACCAGCACCACCAGCACCACCGCCATTTCGACTCTGACTGCTCTTGCTCGCCACGCGCAACCTCGCCGTCTCCATTGCGACCATACAAAACGGGCAGAGGATGGATAAGCGCAAGCGAAGACGCAACCTGCGACATCTAGCCTCTGTGCCCCCCCCCGCTCCCTCGCGCCATGCCCATTGCAGCCCCCCTGCGGGCGGCCTTGCATCAATCTCAAACCCATCCTCCGCGACAAAACCCTCGGTCAGGTAAGCTGGCAAACGAACATGAAACGAACTACCACATTGCAAACCCCCCCAGCTTGCGCAGCCCTTCCTTTTGCCGCGGTACCTCCTCCACATGGACCCCTCCCCCTGCGCTGCCAGACGCCGGACCCACCGTCATTGCGTACGCCCAACGGACCTGTGAGCATGCTGCCGAAGCGCCCTGGCCACATGACCAGCCCACGGAAAAGCGACCAAGTATTGACCAAGCATTCGAGTGTGAGCACATTTGCAGTAAACACTGCTGCTATCCGCGCGCCGCCGCAGCCGCACGCCAAAGGGCGGTAAGTCAACTACTTACGCGGAGCTGGTTATATTGGCGAGGAAACAAAGCACAACCATCCGTTGTCTCTGCCCCATCACGAGGCCCCCTTACAAGCCAATCCCGTTTCTACTTCTCAAACACGCTCTCCTCTTGCTTCTCCACACACGCATCACGCACGACCAAAAAACGGCACACAGACAGTCTAACTGCAATGACGTTAGCCCGCGCTGCCTCAGCCACCAACCAACCCGCAGACAAGGTCTAAACCACCATGACTGCCATCTGACGTGTGTCCATCTCCACACTAACACGCCCGAGTTGGTAATCCCATGTATACACAGCTGCACATCGCTACCCGGCCGGCACTGCCAAGTCTCACAAAGGCCCCGAAGCACCAGCGGGCGAGACGCCCATGCAAAACATCAGACTGCAATAAACAATCCAAGACTGATATATACGACGCAACAGCCTTCACTCTTGACCTACCGCTAACCCGGCAACAGGAAAGTGCCATGTTCCAGGTTTACCCATATCGCATCCCGCAAACGGCCGTAACAGTAATCTAGATGCAGTCGATCAGCATCACACATCCCTCCCAGCCCCAGCCCCCCTCCCCCCTTTGCATTCGTACGCGTGTACATGTTGCAAACTTTGAAAATACACTTTTTTCCCTCTTACTCTCTTACGTACAAGCACTCTTGCGACAAACTCGTTTCCCTCGAGGCAAAATAGCACAAAGGCCTCGCAATCCTTTGCAATCCTACGTAACCCGGGCCCCACTGACTCTTGGTCCCCTTTTTTCGGGCTATAGTAATACTACATATACCGTACTATAGCACGCTATGTCACGCACGCCATCACCACAACATGCACGCTATCCATATGTACGTACGTATGTACGTACACGGCCTCCACGCAGACACAGATACACGCGTGTGGGGAAAAGCGCAATTCAACGGTGAACGTGACCACTTTTGTAATATCCATAGCGTGCTGATTCATGCACCACAACGAACACAGCAAGACTAGGTCTACACCACTTACCCGATCCGATAACCGACCAAGTCCAACCCGCACCTTTCTAACTACAAAAAAAAGTTCACTAATTCACTACATCAAGGCATGATAGCGACACACACTAGACTGGACTAGGCGGAATTAACAAAATTAATCAACTATCGGACTAACACTGGTAGAATAACTCCTTTGCACAGATGTACCAGAAGAACACAAAAATAGAATATCAAAGAAGATGAAAAAAAAATCGGATACAAAAAACTACAAGTAAGTTGAGTCTGAGACAAAAGCTATGAACACAAGTGATGCAATGCACATGCCCCAAAAAAGTGTAAAAAAGAAAGGGAAAAACAGACGGCTTATGAAACCTTGGCGGAGAAAGGGTAAGACGGGTCTGTCTGGTATTTTCACGTTTCAGGTCTGGAGCGCTGGTTGGCTGATTGGCTGCATATGATTGGCGGCATGGTGCGTGCGTGTTGCGCGTGTTGTGGAGGGAGAAAAGCGAAAGAAAGAACACAAGGAGCAAGTATGACCATGAGGGGCCGATAACAAAGATGACGCAGACGGGACGCTGCAACATGTTGATGATGGACCCGGGTGAGCAAGGGCATAAACATGGAGGGGGTATCACGGACGCAGGGATTCTGCAAGAGACTGAGCGACAGACGGAGAAAATGGTTCGATGCACAGCTAGCTCTAAGTAAGTCGGAATCTGGGACTTGATTGATTAAAATGGATTCTATGTATGTGTGTTTGTCTGACGCGGGACAGGGTGCTACTGTATACAAAGGTTAAACTAAGGTAATGCATACATACATACCATGGTACCGTTCGGTCAGATAAGCAGTGACAGCCCGGGACAGGCCAAGATATATAATACAGGTATAGTATTAGTATCGGCATAGTAATACTAGTAATAGTATAGTATTGTATAGTGTCAGGTAGGGGTAAGACGAGGGGAGGGGTAAAGGGTATGCCAAGGCAACACGAGATAAGACTGCACAAGCATCGGACAAGAGGGCATAAGATGGGACAAGATTGCCCAAGTGGTGCAAGGTAGAGTAAGAAGTAAAGACGTTGGATTTAGAGTGAATATAGACTGGGGAATTATATAAAGCGTGCTGTATTCCCTTCATCTTTCGTCTTTCGTCTTGCATCATCATACTTACATGTAGTCATCATCACAGTCACAGTCACAAGTCACAGTCACACACATCGTCCATGCAAAACCCCATGCGATCACCGCATCAAAGTCTACTTACGTACATAGCCACACACACACACACACACACACACACACACACCCCCCTATGCACCCAACCCTAGTTATCTCCGTACCCATCGCCATGGCCTTCGGGCCGGAGTAATCGACGACTCTCCGACACCGACACCGAAAACACCCAGACACTCCCCTGATTCTGCGCATTTGCCACGCGTTGCAAAGGATGCGTTGTTATGCCATCTTTGCATCTTACTCACACGTACACACACTATCTCTCTCTTTCTCTCGCTTTCTCTCTCACTCTTTCTCTCACTCTCTCTCTCTCTCTTTCTCTGTACATGTGTCTATGCATGTATATATGTATGTGTCTTAACTAAACCAACCAACTACAATCCACCAACCAGCTTAAAGAGTAAAACATTCAAAGTATGAAGAGTGGTAATGTCTATTCTTTTTTTTCGTCTAATAGTTTTCTTCTTTTTTTTCACCCTCTCTCTCTCTCTTCTCCTTTGGCTCTCTCATCTTTGTCAAGACGTCAACGTGTAATCTATCTACCTTTGGCCAATCCAATCCAATCCAATCCAATCCAATCCAATCCAACACCACCCATCCGCCTACCATCCGTAACTAAATTATCAACTCCTTTCTTCCGTCTTCTTCTTCTTCGTCATCGTCTTTCGCCTTGCTCAATTGCTATTATGATTCTCCAAAAACACTGGTATAAAAATGACTACACGTCGCGCGCATTCCCCCCTCCCGTCCATCACAAACAACAAGTCAGCACAGGGTTATACAACAGCCAAACTCGTATGCGCGCAATTCGTCCAAGAGAACAAAAAAAATAGGGACCGGCCGCCCTTCTAATCCAGCCTCTAACACCTTTCCTCATGCAAACACAAAGAGTCTCAAAACACGGGCCGCTTAGCCCCTCGCAAATGCCGCAAAAAATTAAACATGACGAATTGAGTATCGTGTCGTCAGCCGCATTGTCTCACTTCTTTTGCTGTGTGTTGGGGGCAGACGACCCGCCAGCCCCGGGCTCGAGCGTGTGCTCATGGTTCGTCGACCGTAATATTCTGCCGCCTTCTTCTTGTGAGCAAACTTCACTGTTGGTGACCCATTTGTCTTCGAGGATTTCGTCCAGTGTGGCCCGCTTCTTGGGGTCAACTTCCAACATCCTGCCTATAATGTGTCTGCTCTCCCGAGGTAGCAGCCGCAGCAGTCGCCATGGGCCCTTGATTACCTGCGGCGGTTGGCCCGTCGACCCGCGGTTTTCAGCGGAAAGGTGATCCGACGATTGATGACGAGACGTGGGCTCCGAGTTGAGCACGGATTGGCGACGATCATCTTCGGTAGTGGTGCTCAGATTAGTAGCCGACTTGGACGGTCCGGTGATTGACTTTGGCCCATCGTTGGGAGGAGAGACGAAGAGTTTGTACGAGTTGTCTGAGATGCGCGGCGCTTTCCATGGGAACCGGCGTAGCGTCATGCAACAAAACATAATGGCAAGAGACCAAATGTCGGCAGGTTGGGGGTCGTATTTGGAGAGATCATACACTTCAGGCGCAAGGTACGGATCTGAGCCGACGATACCTAGAATCGAGTTAGAGATGTCGCGGGCATGGCCTCTGCTATTACATACCACTGGCAAGAACGATTTCGTCTTCAAACGGGTACTTGAAGACAGCAGCACTGCCGAAATCGATAATCTTCATGATGCCGTGTTCGTTGACAACAACATTGTCGAGCTTCAGGTCTCGGTGAGCCAGCCCCATACTATGGAGATAGGTGACTCCGTTGAGAATCTGCAAGGTGGCACAGGTCACCTCCTCGCGACTCATTTTACCAGTCATGACAATGGCAAAAAGATCAAACGGTGCGTATTCCATGACAACGTAGTAGTTGCCTTTCTCGTTGACCAAGTCCATGGTCTCGATAATATTCCCATGGTGGAGCGTGGATCCTATGCAGAACTCGGCCGTGACCTTCTTGTTGTAGTCTTTTTCCGACTCGTACGAATGCCGGGGACGGAACTGCTTGACGGCAAATGTTGTGCCATCGCTACTTCGCTTCATAAGGCGAACCGAGCCACCGGCACCCGATCCCAGCACTTTTCCAAACTTGCCGTACTTGCTCTGAAGGCCGTGGTCATCGGCAAAAGGCACATTCATCGATCCATTCGTAATGGGCGATGTCATGGATCCAGACTTACCCGATTTGATCTTTTGGTTCCTCAGAGAGGGCGCAGGAGACTCTTTGCGCTTCTCCTTGTCCTTGTCCTTTTTGTGTCCGATCTTGAAGAAGCGCTTGAGTTCCGACATGGATCCATGGCCGTGTTTGCCCGTCTGCGACTTGGCGTCTTCTGCGTCCGAGTGGTGGCCTTTGATGGATATTTTGCCAAAGATGCTCGACCGCTTGTTGTCCTCCTTGTCCGAGTCTGTGCCTTTGGAGCGGGGTAGTTGATATGTTGATGACATTGAATTTCGGCCTTCGCGACCGCCGTAGATGTAGCGGGCCTCGAGTGAATCCAGGTTTCTTGCTTGTGCTGCGCGTTTGGAGCGAGTGTACGTGTCTTCTCTCTCACTTTGCGGTGTATATGGCCGACTGCCCGGTACCGGGGATGCTGTGCCGGGCGTGCGATCGCCCCCGGATCTGGCCGGACTAGGGTCACGAGAGCTTGGGTTGGAGTCACCAGGAGGGCCCACGGCAAATGCAGCACTGTGTCTTGGGCGGGGTTGAACTACACTGGGCAACTCGGATGATGGCGCAGGGGGTTGTGGTGCTGTCCTTGGCGAAGCAGGAACGGGGAAAGAAATGCCGCCCTCTGTCTGGCTCTGCACTGATGAGTCGAGGGAAGTAGGCGGAGCTTCATGCGGGGGAGACACCTGCGGGGTCATCAGGGCGGGATCACTCGGACGCTGCTTGTGGCCGCCTTGTATGGCCGCCTTGTCGTCCCTAGACGAGGTTCCTGCGGGGGTCAGTGGTGGAGAATGCATGGCCGGCGAAGAGGCAATGGACGAGCGGTGCGCCGAATGGGCTGAGACGGTCCGCGAGGCTGGGCTGGGTGAAGGAGCCTTTGACGTATTAGCTGCGTGGGCGCGCAATTGTCCCAGGTCACGGTGCAGGTTTGCTTACTCGGGAGGGCGGCAGCGAGACGGGCTCGAAGGAGAAGTTTTCCATGCGCTTTGCCTGCATGCGAGACTTTTGGAGCGTCGACGACAGGTTGCGGAGCTCTTCCTCAGCATGGGGGCTCAGCGGGGCATCATGGTTGGGGGGGTTGGCCGAGGCCGTGAGGTGGGCAACGTCCTGGACAGCGTCGGAGGGCTCAATTTCCTCGTGGACGTCGCTGAAGCGGACGGACTGGGCCGGGGGCGTGGACGTCATGATGGCGGGCGCGGGGAGGAGACGCCTGTCAGAGAGGGTCAGCAATCTTAGTCGCGGGCATGACGAAAGGCCCATACTTGGGTCTAGGTCGGATAGCTTGCGCTTACTTAAGAGGCAGACGGGCCTGGGGCGCGCGCGACGATGGCAGCAATGGGCTGCGGCAGCAGAGGGCGAGCACTCCGCAGCGAGGGCCGTCGGACGAGGGTGAGGTGGGCAGCTCGTGTGCGTGTGCGTGTGCGTGTGCCTGGCGACTACAGGGCATGGAGAGGCGTCATGGGCAGCCTACTAAGGAATCCAATCGAGCCCCGCGCTAGTCGTCGATTGCGTGCCGCGAGTTTGGGCGCGCAGCCGCGGAATCTTCGGGAGCAGCGCAAACGAGGGCAGGGGAGCGGTGGTGATGGGCGTAGCGGCAGCGGTCGTGGTGGTGGCCGTGGCCGTGGTGGTGGCCGTGGCTGTTGTGGCTGTTGTTGTGGTGATGGTGGCGGCGGCGGCGGCGATGGCCGTGGTGGTGGGTGCGGCGGCAGCGGAAAAGCGACAAGAGGGCTAGAACTGGAAATCTCTGTGGTGACGGGGGAAAAGAGCACGGCCGGGTGCAGCAGCGGAATCGACGTCAGGACGGGCGGCTGGCTGGGGGGGGGGTCGCTGTGCTGCAGACAGGGGTGGGTGGAGCAGGGTGGGTGTGGGTATGTGCCCTTGGAGAGAGGGACGTCGACCACCAGGGGGGAAGTGGGGGGGGAGGGAGGGAGGAGTGAAGGGCGAGACAAGAGCGAGAGGATGCTGGGGTGGCGCAAGACTGGAGCCAGACCAGAGGATGCAGCAGCTAATAGTGGCCGGACGCGCAGGTCGAGGATGGGATGAGGGCGGAGAGCGGATGGGATGAGGCGGACGGTGGGTATGGCGGCGGCGGTGGTGGGTGGTGGTGGGATGGACGCCCATGGACGAAGGGTGGATGGCAAAAGGGCGAGGCTTAGCCGTAGCTTCCCAATGGGCGCGCACGCAGCATTACTGAGTAGGGCAACCCGCGCGCGCCCTGCCGACCTTTATGGCGAGAGTGCGCAAAGTCCATGGCCGCCTACATATTCCTATTGCTGCGCATGTCGACGACGCCGAGGAAGATCATTTCTTGAACAAAAACCTTTGATCAGGATTTTTTTTTCTCGCTGGCCGCATCCTCCAATCAGACCCCCGTGACGGCCCTATACTCCGACGTCCCCCGGCCCTGCACCGCGCGTGACGACTACGACGACGACGACGACGACGTCGACGTTTGCGCACAATGTTCAGCTGGGCAAAGTCAACGTGAGTGCTGCCGTCCCGTCGACGCTGCACGTGCCTGCGCGACAACTGAGTACGCGTACTGACGGATGCAGGCTAGCCGCGGTTGCCGGCACCCAGGAGCCCGAATACGGCCCTGAGGCCATCCAGCCCGTGGGCAAGAAGGGCGACGAGCCTGCTTACACCCAACTAACCAAGGACCACCTCAAGTGGGAGACGCTCGACTACACCAATGTCGAGACACAGACGTTCTACTTCTTCTCCGACGCCGGCCACAAGGGCTTCCTGCAGGTCATCTACAACAACATCGCGTAAGTGGCGTCTCCCCACACCCCGCCTCCCGCGCTGTGCTGACCTCCATGTCCCAGCGGCCTCCGCGTGACGGTGCAGTTCAACTGCAAGCTCTTCTACCCCGGCAACGAGAAGCCGTTTCTGTGGGCAAGTGACCCCGTCCAAAACTACGGCTTCGACGAGAAGCAGCACTCCTTCTATGCCGATGGCGTGTCGATTGAGCTCTCCGACGAGGGCGACGCCTACACCATCAAGGCGGCCGTGAACGAGGACAGCATGGTCAACGTCAAGTTCACCCGCACGGCGCCTGGCTTCATGGGCGGAAAGGACGGCACCACGAATTACGGCACAAACCCCAAGGAGCCCTGGGGCTCCATGCACCACCACTTCTGGCCCCGATGCAGCGTCGAGGGCACCATCATCACAAAAGAGGCACAGATTGACGTCAAGGGCCGCGGCATGTTAAGCCATGCCCTCCAGGGAATGAAGCCGCACCACGCTGGTACGTCTTGCGCCTTCGCCATGCATGCATCATGCTAACACAAGCAGCGGCCCGATGGAACTTTGTCAACTTCCAGTCGCCCTCGTACTCGGCCATCATCATGGAGTTCACCACGCCCGCCTCGTACGCATCGACAGTCGTCCGAGTCGCCGGCATTGCCACGGACGGCAAGCTTCTCTTTGCCAACACCCAGGGCGATGTGAAGCACACGGAGACCAAGCAAGACGAAACGGGTTGGTCAGCCCCCACTTCGGCGAGCTACCACTGGACTGGAGAGACGGAGGATGGCGAGGAGGTGACGGCAGACCTTGCAGGCGCGCTGGGCGAGACGATTGACCGCGTCGATGTCATGGCTGAGGTGCCAGGGTTCATCAAGACGATTGTTGCGAGCGCGGCAGGCACCAAGCCATACATTTACCAGTATGCGCCAAAGATGACCATCAAGGTCAAGGTGGGCGACGAGGTCAAGGAGGAAGAGGGCACGCTCTTCACCGAGGCTACCTTTATCTCGTAGAGGCCATGTTCCAGGTTTGGATACCAAGATGCTATGCCATCTTTGATACCCTAGTAATAATACATCAGGGCTACCACCTGGTCTAATGAATAACGTTTGTTACGCATGACACTTTGTGTGTGTTGTGTTGGATTGCATTGCTCCGCCGTATTCCGCGCGTGTGGAGTGAGACGCAAGTCCAGCATCTCACGGCGGCCTCGGCAGACGAGCCGTGGTACCATCAATGCACCTCGCCCTGCATCTCAGACTCGCTCTCAACCCAGCCCGGCCCCGATAGCCCCGCTATTGGCGCCCTGCACACTCGCAGCTCGTCTCACCCTCACTCTATCCAGCCCTCACTCTCACCTGATAGCGCGTCAAGCCCAAGACGCGTCGACGCGTGGCTGTGGCGGAGGCTCAAGCTCACACGCCTAGGCCCACTAACCACCACCGCCATCGCAACGTCTAACGCCACACTACCTACATACTCTCCCCACACCCACCACCACCCCGCCATGGCGAGCCAGCGATCAACCCAGTACAGCGCCGCACCCCGCTTCAGCGGCACACCACGCTTTACCGTCGCACCCCGCCTCACCGTCACACCACAAAGCCAACCCGGCCCATCCCGCTCCCATGCTTCGGCATCGGGGCCCTCACCCCCCGTCTCGCGTGCCACCCAGCTTGGTCTCGGATTAGCATCTCGGGGTCCTAGCAGCAGCAGTAGTACTAGCAGGGGCTTTGCCTTTGGTAGAGGTGCTGCGGGCCTGGGGAAAGCTGGGCTTGGTGGCAAGGGCAAGGGTGCGCTGAAACGCCATGTGTGAGTATCTCTATCTTTTTCTCTTGCCCACACCTTGTCGAACAACTTTTGATTTCAATTTTCAATTTTTTTTTCATTATTTGTTTTTCTGGTTACAGGTGCGGGGGTAAAGTAAGGAAGTAAGTAAGTAAGTAAGTTGAAAGCAGAAGCTAATGTGGAGATTGTGTGAAAATAGCAAAATTCAGCGGGATAGTATTCATGGGATTACCAAGGGCGATATTCGGTAAGTACACCCTTATATCAAGAGAAGAGCGTGGTGCGAGTGTGAGATGCATACATGCTACTACTACTACTACTACCACCACCATGTGTATGACTGGCTTGCTACTAGCAAAGTAGTAAAACTCTATCTACACACTAACATGTTTCAACATGCCTTTGACTAATCCTACTTACAGACGACTCGCACGCCGCGGCGGCGTCAAGCGCATCTCCGCCATCGTATACAGCGATGTGCGCCAGGCGCTGAAGGACCGATTGGCATTGGTACGTTTTGCATCTTTTGGCTTCATATGCACGAAAAAATAAAACTGACTACTACGTACGCCAGATCCTGAGAGACATCTGCGCCATCATCGACTCCAGCGGCCGCAAAACCGTGTCCGTCACTGACGTCGTGTTTGCGCTTAGACGTGTAAGTTTCGCTTTGCTTCTAGAGGTAAGACGCAGAATGGCTAATGCAATTCTGTGGGATAGCGGGGAAACCCGATTTATGGCTTTGAGCCTTCGTTTCTGAGTAAGCGGTGAGAGAGACAGACGTATGTATGTCTGTGTATGTAGCTGGAAGCAGAGCACATGCACTATGAACGGCTGCGTGGTGGTATGGCATGAGCGTGATACATCATGCTGATCATGCCGGGAGAGCGCGATACGATACGATACCCCTGCACATACGGGCGTTTATGGCGTTGTAATGATGGGATAGTGATTCTCAAGCATGGCTTTACGCGATGCGTTCACGGTGGAGGACTCCAAGAAATATTAAAGTCAGCCAAATTGATGGCGAGTAACCACACTCTAAACTAGTATTCACAATCAATACGACACCCCCGTGTATTTAGAACGGGCGAAAAAAAAGAGACGTCTTTATCCAGTCTACCACTTATCCAAAGCCTTGTTCGCCTCTTTCATCCACCCGTCCCACGCCTCGTCACGCTCGTCCCTCCCCTTCCTCGCATAATACCAGTGATCCAGGGCCTCAAAGAAGGCGCGAGCCTCGCTCTTGATAAGCCTCGCCACACTGCGATTCCTCTCCCACGCGCGATCCACACACGGCATGCCGACCACGAGCCCATGTTCGCTCAGCAAAATGCGCACAGCCTCCTCCTCAAAGCTATCCGGGATGCCCCAGGGATTCGCATACGGACTCTGCTGAAACGCATACTCGACTTTGATATCTCTGTTGGGCGGACGGGCCCTCCAGCGCCACCACTCTGCCAGGCGGCAGAACAGCAGGAAATGCAGCTTGTGCGCGTCGCCGCTCGCAACCGTGTAAATGTTGCCGTAGGGCTGGCACGCGCGCCAGTGCTGCTCCAGGTAGTTGTCCAGCAGCCAGCCTTTGGGCGGATACGTATACGTGCTCTTGACCGTCGGCAGCACATTGACTTGCAGCCCGGGGTTGCGCGCCAGCAGCGCGCGGTGCGCCGCCGGGAGCTGCTCGAGCCACCGCAGGGCGGCGCCGAAATCCAGGTTGCGCACGCTGAACTGGAACCGTGTTCGCGTGTAGCATGTGTATGCCGCTTCGATTCTTATCGCGCGGCTCGTGTGCAGCAGCGCGGGCGCTACGTGCTGTTTGTATTTTGTGATGCGCGCCCACGAGTCGCTGATGGAGTGCGTGGCTGGCAGCACGTAGGTGTAGATTAACGTACGGAGCTCCGAGGGGAGCGTCGCCAGGGGACAGGGCTTGGAAGCGTCCTTGGGCGTGATGTGGTAGAGGTCGCGTTTGTAGGTCATGGAGTCTTTTTGGTGGGGTGTTAGTAGGGATGGGCGTTTGAGTGTCTTTTTGTTCTTCGTTTCCTGGGTAGTTGGCGTGGCATTTTTGGGCTCGGCGGGTTTTGTGCTTTTCCTTGGAGTTCTTTCTGGTGTTTTTGGGAGGAAGCGTGGTGTGCTGTGTACTGGCTCTGCGTCCTTGGTGGCTTTTGCTGCCTTTGGGCTTCGTTTGGATGCAGATGAGGCGGTGGCCCGGGCATATGATGGAGGTGACATTGTCCTATCGCTTACTTCGCGTACGTGTTACACGTGTATATGAGGCTCCGATTATCCCTGCATAAAATCGGTGGTTTGGTGCCAGATGCTTTCAAGTGAGCGGCTGCCTGGGCGAATCGCTACTGTGGCGATGTCTGCTGGTGATGAATTCCGGCGATATATCCTGAATTTCCAACTCTTTCAATTTAATCCTGCTTGATGTGCGCTTCTTTCATTCTTGCCTGATCTCATGTGGAACAAATAGTAGAAATAGGGCATGTAAGGGAAGCAGAGACGTTTCGTATCGAGGGTAGTAGACACGTGAGCGCGCGAAAGTGGGGCGCCGTCCATCGCGCCTTCCGTCCCGTTCAGTCCACCCTACGTGCCTACATACGCCATCATCATCATCTCCGGACACATCTTTTTGCATTCCATCTGCAAGCATGGCGGATGACATGGATACCTCGCAGTCCTCGCCACGCGGAACTAAACGAAAAGGCGACGACAGTCTCTCACTTCCTGCGCCACGCAGGATCAAGGCACTTGCACAAGATGTAGTCAACAAGATTGCCGCGGGAGAAATCATCGTCGCGCCAATGCATGCGCTGAAAGAGCTGATTGAGAATGCCGTTGACGCGGGGTCGACTGCGCTGGAGATTCTGGTCAAAGACGGTGGTCTCAAGCTATTACAGATTACCGACAACGGACACGGCATTGACGTAGGTTGAACTCGCCATTGTGAGATTCTCCATCTAACGGGCCCAGAAAGAAGACTTGCCCATCTTGTGTGAGCGCTTTACTACGTCAAAGCTCAAGGCTTTCGAGGACCTGACGTCAATCGGCACGTACGGGTTCCGTGGCGAGGCGCTGGCGAGTATCAGTCACATTGCCCATCTCAAAGTCACGACTAGGACGAAAGAGTCTAGTTGTGCTTGGGAGGCTCATTACGCAGACGGCAAGCTTACCAGTCCAAAGCCGGGCCAGAGCGCAGACCCAAAGCCCAAGGCTGGACGGCAGGGTACCACTATCACGGTAAGTTGAGATTGAGTTTGGTTTATTCGTCCGACTCATGCGACCCAGGTCGAAGATCTGTTCTACAACGTTCCCTCTCGGCGTCGGGCTTTTCGTTCAGCTAGCGAAGAGTATGCAAAGATACTTGAGCTTGTCGGACGCTATGCTGTGCACTGCCAAGGGGTAGCCTTTTCCTGCAAGAAAGCCAATGAAACTTCTGGCAGCAGTGTGATAGTGCCTGCATCTGCTACTGTGAAAGATCGAATACGGCAAATTCATGGTAGCAGCGCTGCCAACGAGCTGGTGGCCCTCAATGTCGAAGATGATCGCTGGGGCTTCAAGTGCGACGGCTGGATCAGCAATGCAAACTACAGCGCCAAACGAACGCAGATGCTGCTTTTCATCAACCATCGGTCGGTTGATTCTACAGTGATCAAAAAGAGCGTCGAGCAGACATATGCCACATTCCTACCAAAAGGAGGACATCCCTTCTTCTACCTCAGTCTTGAGATTGAGCCGCAGCGAGTCGATGTCAACGTGCATCCTACCAAGCGAGAAGTTCATTTCCTAAACGAAGACGAGATCATTGCTGTGATTTGCGACTCGATACGCGAGAATCTCAGCAAGGTCGACACCAGCAGGTCCTTTGTGACGCAGTCACTTCTCTCCAACCCCAAAGCTCCCTTTGTAACACCTATGAAGCAACCACTACCCGCAACGCCAAACAAAGGCGACGCATCAGATAAAAGCACCTCGAAAGCACCACAGACATCGACCAGGAAGCGCAATGAAAACAATCTCGTCCGAACAGATGCGTCGGCACGCAAAATCACATCGATGCTGCAGCCCCAGCGGTCCGTAGAAGAGATTGCCAACGACGAGGAAGAAATGGAGTATGAATTCACAGAAAAAGAACCAATGACATGTCGTCTGACGTCTATCAAAGAGCTGCGTGCCGAAGTACGAGATGCCATGCACAACGAGCTCACCGACATCATCTCGACACATACCTTTGTCGGCATCGTCGACGAGCAAAAACGCATAGCAGCGATCCAGGGCGGCGTCAAGCTTTTCCTAGTCGACTACGGCATGCTGTGCAACGAGTACTTCTACCAAGTTGGGCTCACCGACTTTGCCAACTACGGATACATCCGGTTCAACCCCCCGCTGTCGCTGCGCGAGCTACTCAAGGTAGCAGTCGAGCAGGAGAAGAGAAACGCAGGCGACGCAGGCGACGAAATCGATTGGGACGATGTCGTCGCCGTCGTCACCGACCAGCTTATCAGCAAAGCAGCGCTGCTGAGCGAGTACTTCTCCATGGACATTTCACCCGAAGGCGACCTGTGCTCCATCCCGCTCCTTGTAAAAGACTACACGCCTTGCATGGCTAAGCTGCCTCAGTTCCTGCTCCGCCTGGGCCCCCACGTCAACTGGGACGAGGAAAAGGCGTGCTTCCAAACGTTACTCCGTGAAATAGCTGCTTTTTACGTGCCAGAGAGCTTGCCGCTTGCGCCGTCACCGCAGACGCAGGACAAGGCCAATGGGAAGGCCAAGGCGCAGGACGACGAGGACCCGGAGATTGCGGCCAGACGCAAGAAGCTGCTGAGGGCGATTGAGTACACTATTTTCCCCGCGTGCAAGGCGAGGCTGGTGGGGACGAAGGGCTTGCTCAAGGGGGGAGTCATGGAAGTGGCGAACCTCAAGGGCTTGTATCGCGTGTTTGAGCGGTGCTGATGTGGTGTAGACGGATGATGGTTGAAGGGGTTTTTTACACTAAACCTAATACACAAACAACATGTTAGTTGGACGTTGAGCCTGCTTTCATTCTACTCATCATATATTGCGTCGAGGAGAGACATTCAATGACATCCTCGCAAAACTTGGTGTGAAAAGGGTGGCAAGGTTCATTGTAGCCTTGATGCTACTTTTGGTATTTGTTTGATATTTGAGAGATTGGAATCATGTCTCTGGGTATCTAGTAAGTAAAGAAAGCAGACTGTATGTGCCTTTCTGTGACAAGTTCATTACTTCAATTCGGTTGAGGCTATGCAGCCTCGTCGTCTTCTTCGTCGTCTTCATCAGAGATTTCAACCAGGTCTTGGGCGCCGCGCCTGGGCTTCTTTTTGCCTGCTTTGCCGCTCAAGCTGATGGCATCGAGAAAGGCGCTGTTGTCAATCTTGGCCTGCAGCTTGGGTGCAGAAGCAACGTCCTGGATAAAGAGCCGTTCGTGGTACGACTCAAAAGCCCGCTCATCCTACGCAAATCAGCAGGTGCTCGTAGTTGATTGAAAGGCTTGCTTACATCTTCGTCAAAGTAGTTGAGCCTCTGCCACGGTTCCTGGTTCGTCGCCTTCATGAAAGCCTGCGTTAGTTCGGCGGCAGTGTCACCGCCAGTCTTCTTGACCTGCGCAAGAAAAGCCTTGGGCTCTGCGACCTTTGCGCCCTCCTGCGACTCCTTCTCGCGACGTCGCTGGACGGCCTCGAGCTGGGCAGAGGCATCGATGTGGTGAAACTGGGTCCGGAGCTGGACGAGTCCGTCAAGGCGGGTAAGGTGAAGCTCGCCTACCAAGGCTTGTTAGCACAGTAAGAATGACGGGTTTCGCACGACTCCTCACTGTCACGGAACGTCCCCAACATGTAGCTAGGGCCCTTGCCGTCCTCGGGCGCGATCTGGCCGCCGAATGTCTGCATGTTGAGGACGTGTCCCTTCTCATTGGCGTCCTCAAAATGAGTGACATATTCCTCGATGTTGTCGTCGTCTATGGCGGTAACAGGCGCTGCGGGGGCTCCTTCACCCGCAGCACCCGGTCGGTTTGCACTGCGGGGCATGGTGCGCTCGAAGCCAGAGGCAATGCCAAACGCCTTCTGGCCGAAGCCCTTGGTCTTGCGCATGGATTCGCCCCATCGCACACCGGCGATGCGGTTGTAGTTGCGGTGAATGTTGATGGGCACGTCGACCTCGATGAAGCCCGAGTCTTTTTTGATGCGCAGCTCCGACGGCTGGCTGTCGGTGGCCTTGGTGAAGGGCTGGTCGGGCGGGCGGTTCAAGTACTGGAGGAGGTAGAGCTGCTGCTCGGCCACGTCGGGCGTGATGTAGACATCGTACTCGGCCACGACGGGGTCGTCGTCTTGTACGTCTGCGGCTGCTGTAGCAAAGTCAGAAGCGGCGCATGTGTGGGCAGAGGCCAGTCTTACGCGCCATACCATATGGTGTGCGTCTGTCGAGAAGCTGCGAGCAAGAAGCCCAAAAAGTTCCATGGGCCGCCCAAAAGTTACTTTTAGCCTCGCCCCGCAACGCGACGTCGCGTGCAGCAGCGGCCCGTGCTGCTGCATGACGGAATGCATCCGATGCTCTCCATTGCCCGCCAACAGCGACCGTCCCGCCTTGTCTTCTGCGCCGCATTTCCAGGCGGCCGCCCAATTCACCCCCAAACATGGCATACATCGCCCCCATCCACCGCCCGAGCAGCGTCAGGCATGCGCTGAAGCTCAACTTCCTCGCTGCCGACGAGGACTGCCTCGTGGTCGCGTAAGCAGCGCATATATATATATCGCCGGGAGACGAGGCTAACTCGACGGCAGCAAGTCCAACCGCCTCGAGTTCTACACACAAGAGGCCGATGGTCTGGCCCTGAAGCACTCAAAAGCCATCTATGGCAAAGTCACCATGCTCCAGAAGCTGCGCCCAGCACTATCGCCCACCGACCACCTCTTTGTAGGCACCGACCGCTTCATGTACTTCACACTGTCGTGGAACGCCGATAAGAAACAGCTCCAGACGGAGAAGTCGTTTGCCAGCGTTGCCGACAATGCTGCACGCGAGTCGCAGACAGGCGAGAGATGTCACATCGACCCCACAGGACGCTTCATGACAGTCGAGGTGTACGAGGGCATCATCACCGTCATTCCACTGGTGCAGAGGGGGAAGAAGAGGAAGCAGGAAGCCGACATTGCTCATCTGGGCGATCCCCAGCCCGTCCGATTGCCCGAGATGTTTGTCCGCTCATCGGCTTTCCTCCACCCACGGTCCTCGGACGATAAGCCCAAGATGGCTCTGCTCTACGAAGACACGCATTCGCAAGTCAAGCTGAGGCTGAGAGAACTGACGTACGCTGGCGATGAAGTCGATTTGCAAGAGGGGGAAATCTGCAAGAGCGAGCTGGAACTGGGGTCGAGCCATTTAATTCCCGTCGAAGAACCTTCTCATGGCCTGGTAGTCATCGGGGAGACATCCATCGGATATTACGATGACGAGACGGGAGAAGTGCAGACAGAGCCACTTGACGAAGCGACTATCTTTGTAGCCTGGGAACGAATCGATGCCCAGCGCTTTGTCCTTGCCGACGATTACGGCCGCCTGTACATGTTCATGCTGGTCTTGGACTCGCAGGGAAAAGTACAGTCGTGGAAGCTTGATGTCATTGGCCAGACATCCCGAGCATCGACCTTGGTGTACCTAGACGCAGGCTATGTCTTTGTGGGCTCACACCAGGGCGACTCGCAGGTCATCCGGATTGCCGAAAAATCAATGGAGACTGTCCAGACATTTTCCAATATCGCGCCCATTCTAGACTTTACTATAATGGACATGGGCAACAGATCGGGCGAGGGACAGACCAACGAATACTCTTCTGGCCAAGCACGGATAGTAACCGGTAGCGGCGCGCACCAGGACGGTAGTCTTCGAAGCGTTAGGAGTGGAGTCGGATTGGAGGATCTGGGCGTGCTGGGCGAGATGGAACACATATCTGGGCTTTTCAGCTTGAAGTCGACCGCTTCTGCCCAGTATGCAGACACACTACTGGTGAGCTTTGTAGGCGAGTCGCGCGTCTTCCGGTTCGATCCTCAGGGCGAGGTAGAGGAAGTCGAATTTGCTTCGCTTGCTCTCGATGAGATGACACTGGCTGCGGCGAATATTCCACAAGGGCGCGTCGTCCAAGTCACCAACGCAAGAGTACGAATCTGCGAGTTGGACGGCGGTATGATGATGTCAGAATGGACGCCGGCGGATGGCAAGACCATCACTGCTGCGTCAGTCAACGACACTCATGTTCTTGTATCATTGGGTGGTGTCACCATAGTCTCTCTGAGCATGGCCGATGGCCTGCAGGTGGCCAAGGAGAAGACATTTGGTGCTGAAAGCCAGGTCGCCTGCGTCACCCTACCCTCCGGAACCAGCCCTACGTGCTTCGTTGGCTTCTGGAGCAATTCACAACTCGCCATATGCTCACTTGATACTCTCGAGACAGTCAAAACCGTTCAGATATCCGAAGACTCGGTCCCCCGCTCATTGCTACTTACGCAGATATTTCCCGAGCAACCGCCATCACTTTTTGTTGCTTTGGCTGACGGAAACGTTGTCACATATACTTTCGACCCTTCGAGCTACGAGCTATCCGGACGGAAGAGCATCGTACTTGGAACGCGCGAAGCCACCTTCCGCGCTCTCCCGCGAGGTGATGGTCTCTACAACGTCTTTGCGACTTGTGAACACCCCTCTCTGATTTACGCATCAGAAGGCCGCCTCGTGTATTCTGCCGTCACAGCTGAAAAAGCAACAACAGTTTGTCCGTTTGATTCAGAAGCATATCCCGGCTCCGTCGCCATCGCCACATCTGAAGATCTCCGCATCGCACTTGTAGACACGGAAAGAACCACACATGTGCAGACGCTGAAGGTGGACGAGACAGTGCGGCGGATAGCTTACTCTCCAAACCTGAAAGCGTTTGGACTCGGCACCATCAAGCGCATCCTCAAGCACGGAGAGGAAATTATGCTGAGTCACTTCAAGCTTGTCGACGAAATACAATTCAAAGAACTCGACACATACGCCCTAAACGAAGAAGAGCTCGTCGAATGCGTTATGCGGTGCGAGTTACCAGATGGCTCTGGTGGCCTAGCAGAGCGCTTTGTCGTCGGCACTGCATATCTTGATGACCAGAACACCACCTCAGAACGAGGTCGTATACTCGTTCTCGAAGTCACGGCAGAGCGCATGCTCAAGCTTGTTACCGAGATTGCTGTAAAAGGCGGTTGCAGGTGCCTAGCTATATGCCAGGGCAAGATTGTCGCTGCGCTAATCAAGACGGTCGTGGTGTATGATGTCGAGTACCGAACCCCCAGCACACCAGATCTCGTCAAACTAGCATCCTTCCGATGCTCAACAGCCCCGATAGACATCACAGTCAATGGTTCCTTGATCGCGATAGCAGATCTCATGAAATCGCTCGTCATCGTGGAATACACAAAGGGCGAGATTGGCCTACCCGACAAGCTTGTGGAAGTTGCAAGACACTACCAGATTACCTGGGCGACGGCAGTAGCTGAAGTAGACACAAACATGTACCTCGAAAGTGACGCAGAGGGCAATCTCATTGTTCTCTACCGCGACCCCAACGGCGTCACAGACGACGACAAGAGGCGGCTGCACATTAGCTCCGAGATGCTCCTTGGCGAGATGGTCAACAGAATACGCAGGATAGACGTCTTGACAGCTGCAGATGCAGTCATTCTACCAAAGGCGTTTGTCGGCACCGTAAGTCTCCTCATTCCTCTCCACGCAAGCCTTTGCTAATCACGAACAACAACAACAGGTCGAAGGCTCCATCTACCTCTTTGGCCTCATATCGCCCAGCCACCAAAACCTGCTTATGACGCTGCAGTCCAATCTCGGTGCTCTCGTCGGCGCCCCAGGCGACATGCAATTTGCCAAGTTCCGGGCGTTCAAAAACTCGGTCCGCGAGGAAGATGAGCCCATGCGTTTTGTAGACGGCGAGCTGATTGAGCGCTTCTTGGATGTCAGTGATGATGTGCAAAGGGAGGCTATTGAAGGGTTAGGTATTGAACTTGAAGAGGCGAGGGCGTTGGTCGAGGCGCTGAGACGCTTGCATTAAGCAGATAGAGTAGAGCCGTCAAGTCGTATACATGTAGTATGAATGCAGCACGAGAAGACGAGATAAGACAAGGAAAAGAGCAAAGCGTGGCCAACCATTCAAGGGGGAGCATTGTATGTATTCATTCGTCTAATAGACACCACCACCACCCCTTGTTCTTTTCCATGAACGCCAACGCCGTGTCAAAAGAGTAAGTAAGTAAGCAAGTCGTAGTTGTAATTCCAGTTCAAACCACACGTCTCGAGCGACCTTTGCAGGTTTGCGTTTTTTTTTGTCATTACCTCCCGTACCGCGTTATTACCTTTTGATATAAAGAAGAAGAAGAAGGTCAAAGGAAATGATGGAAAGGAAAAAGGGGAAAGGGGAAAGGGGGAAAAGGGAAAGGAGGAAAAGGGAAGGATGAGAGAGAACGAATGTGTCATGTGTAAGTCTCACAACTCTAATACCATCATGCCGGCTCTACACAATGTAGTAGTAGTAGCAGCAGATATACAGAGAAAGAGAGAGAAAGAGAGAGAGAGAATCCCTTTTCAAAGCCAAAGCCAGTAAGCGTCGTCAAGAATATCGTTATCGTTATCGTTTTCCCACAGGCGTGAGTTAGTCCACGCATTCATCGTCTCTGAGTGCGTTTACTCTTCTTCTTCTTCTTCTTCCTCGGCATATCGCATTTCGTGTTCGGATCCGGGACCATGTACCGGCCAGCCTTGATGTCTTGGAGCTGGGTCAGCTGTGTGGAAAAGGGGGCCGAGAGATCGGGTTTGCCGGCGTCGAGGTCGAGGAGGGCAACGAGCGAGGCGTAGGTTGTAGGGCGGTAGTTGGCGAAAACTGGTGGTGGCTGCGGCTGCTGCTGTGGACGCTGGGGCTGTGGCTGGGGCTGGGGCTGATATGCGGTATGGGTGTAGCTGGGGTTGTAGCCGGGGGTGGGAGTCGGGACGTAAGCGTTACTGTTGCTCGGGCCGTTGTTGTAGCTGTTGGTGGGCCAGTAGCTTGTGCTGGGGGTGTTGGTGGGATGAGTGCTGGGGCCGTGGCTTTGGTAGATGCGGGAGCCAGCACCCATGTTGTACAATGGAGCCTGACTCTGCTGCGCTAGCACCGGCGGTTGGGATGGGAAGTACATGGTACCGTTGTGCATATATGCTCCCTGTAGATGAATGTAAGACGAAGAATAGTCAGATTCAGAGTTGTCCCAGTCATGTGACGATGTAGAGGTAGAGCTGGACGATGACCGAGAATGGGATGACACCGCAGGGCCTTGGCCGGAAGGACTGAGACGTGATGCGCTTGTGGGAGAGAAGACGGGGGCATTGGCGTTGAGCGCTTTGGGCGAGGCGTCGTCGTCTGGCATCGTGGTCTGGATGGGCGAGTTCACAATATGTATTGATGTGATGAGAAAGCAGGATTCGAGTCGGCTAGATTCGTAGAGAGATGCCAGGCATTTCAGTAGGCAGTGTGGGAGTGATGGTACCGCTCAAATGGCCAGTATCCACTAAGAAGGGTCCAAATGATGATTATGTATGTATCGTGTTGGCGAACGAAACCGCCCCAAAAACTATCTCAGCACCCCATCTTCATCGCTGCTGTCGTCCTCTCCGTTTTCACGCTATTCAGCTGCACACGGTAGGCATCATCCTCGTCTTGGAATGCCTCAGTGTTTGCATCCCCGTGACGGTCCAGCAGCGGGGCTTCACCCGTTGTAGCGATGACTGCCTCCTTTTCCGTCTCTTCCCTCATGCCGATGATGACGCTGCCTGCCACGAGCATGGCTGCACCGAGCCACCACAGCCCGGGGAGGCTCTCGCTGAAAATGATCAAACTAAGCATGGCCGTGAGGATGAAGTTGGCCGACGTATTGATGATGCTAACGCGCACGGTGGACGACGCAAGAGTCAGGGCGCGGGTAAACAGACCCCACATGATGGCGTTGAAGAGGAGATTCATGCCAAAGAAGAGCTGCGTATGTTAGCAATTTGGTGTAGACATAGGAGCTGAGGCGGAACGACGGCTGCAACATACTCCTCGGATTGCATATTCAATGATTTTATTCGAAGCACTGAGGCCGAAGGCTACGGATATCGAGCTAGCCCAGGAAGCCGTGAGCGTAGTGGTGGTGCTGCAACCTTATCAGTAAGGGCCGGCGGATAAGAGGGCGGCAATAGTATCTTACAGCTTTGCAAAGACACCATTGAAGGCTGCACATGCGCCGCTGGAGATGGCAAGCGCCAGCCATGCTGACTTTGTTTGGGGGAGAGACATGGGCGATATTGTCGTCGGGAGGGCGCGGGGACGGTGTCGGATGTTAGGATTGGAATGGAGGGAAGATTAATGATCTGCAAGGTACGCATGCGCCACCGAGCCTAGGCAGAAAAATATGGGGTATAGCTTCATGCAGCTGCTAGCTTGACGGCCTTGAAGTCGGCTGCGTGGGCGTTTTGAATTCACTCATTAGAACAAATCAAGAAGACACGGTGAGTGCACACGGTGGAGGGCTGAGTCGCCCTGGGGGTCATGATGCACCCAGCATGTAAAGCAGAGGGACAATGTGTCATATATGTGTGCATGCACCATTCATATTCCATTCTCACAAATGCTGGTTCTGGGTCGAATTTCCAATGCAAACTCCCAACGCCTTTTATGCCATAGGTATCGTGGTAGTCCTGTTCAACTTATAACTCCGATAAAACGTGCGACAACACCGGCCCTGCGCAAGGGCGTTGGCGCGGGAGCTGGCGCTTCGTTGCCCGTCTCCAGCGCATCTTCAGCTGCGGCGCTCTGCCTGGTAGCCTGGCTCCAGCCGGGACGTCTTTGGTGGTCGGGGGGAGAGGCGCCAGGCTATGCCTCGCCGGGACGCTTCGCGTTGCAGCTAACAATCTTGACGCGGTCGGCGTGGATCTGGTGCGTGTTGTCGAGCTTGAAGTTGATATCCTTGATGATAAAGGTCCAGACGTCGTCGCAGAAGCGGTACGTGTCGAGATGGCCCTGGAGTACCAGTCAGTACAGGACGGCGCCGCTGTGTCGCGCAGGCGCAACCGACCTTGAATGTCAGGCGGGCCTTGACCTTCTCCGAGAGGACGTCGGCGACGGCGCGGTCGAAGTTGGCGAGGATCTTCATGGCCAGCTGGGGCTCGATGCGGCGCTCCGTGATGAGGTGGTCCAGCGTGTCTGTGAGCGAGCCGCCCAGGCTGCAGCATGTGTTAGCCACCAGCACTCTCGCGCAGGGTCGGCGTGTTGGGGCGCGGCGCATACCTGCTTCGGCGGTAGAGCTCATAGTACTTGGTGTTGTCGGTGGCCATGGCGGTGGTATGCGATGGGCGGGTGGTCTGGCCATGGTGACGTTTGGGGGCGGCGAGGCGAGGGCTGGGGGCGGGAGCGGAGGCTGCTGACTAAGCCGGCGGTGCTAGCAGCTAGCGCGCGCCGCGGCTTGTTCCGCCTGCATCATCGCCAGCAGCTTCGCAGCCCGTCCCATCACGACCAGAGCTCCATCTTCCCCATCCATCTCCGCCTCGCCCACCACCATAGCCACCCACCCACCATGTCTCTCACCTACGGAACGGGCGGTGCGACGGCCGCCCTCGGCGTCGTCGCTTTGTGTAGGTGCTGCGCGCAGGGGCGTCGGCGACGGCATAGCTAACGGCAACCACCAGACATGCTCTTCAACAACGAGGGAGAGGCCTTCAACGTACGCACGCGCTGCACCCGCCCAAGACGCGATGCTGACTAAGTGTGCACCAGGTCGGCGCCTTTCTCGAAACCGTATCTCCGTACACGTGGGCTAGCATTGGCATCGCGCTCTGCATCGGTCTCTCCGTAGTAGGATCCGCATGGTATGTCCCCATGCATGCACGCACGCAGCCACTGGGCCGCTTCTGACAGTCGCAAAGGGGCATCTGGACAACGGGTGTGTCCATCGTCGGCGGAGGTGTCAAGGCGCCCCGGATACGAACCAAGAACCTGATCTCCATCATCTTCTGCGAGGTCGTCGCCATCTACGGCGTCATCATGGCCATCATCTTCTCCTCCAAGATGAACCAGCTCTCGGACCCCGAGCTGCTCTACTCGGGCTCCAACTACTTTACCGGATACGCCCTCTTCTGGGCTGGCATCACCGTCGGCATGTGCAACCTCATCTGCGGTGTCTGCGTCGGCATCAACGGAAGCAGCGCCGCCCTGGCTGACGCTGCCGACCCTGCCCTGTAAGTCGCCCGCGCCCCAGAGGCCCAGTCGCCCATTAACGGCATTCTAGCTTCGTCAAGATTCTTACCATCGAGATCTTCGCCGCCATTCTCGGACTGTTTGGACTCATCATTGGCCTGCTGATGCAAAGCAACGCAAAGGACTTTGAGTGAGCTTGGGAGAATTTCATATTGGCTTGCGCCCCATTCCAAAAACACGCGCCAGCTCCATCTTCAGCCGTACTTGAAGGCGATCAACGAAGAAATGTACCCACATGTCAGCACAGGAAGCTGGTTTGGACGTTACTGAGAAACATTATTTGTAGAGGTTGTACCATGTACATTGGGAGGGCGTTTGTATAATGCATGTACCATGAGCAATTGCGGCGTTAAATACCAGTTTTTCATAGGAAGTGCCCAAATAACCTGTGCGTGATGCCGTGAGTCTGAGTAAGTGTTCTACATGAGGTCTGTGGCCCGTGCATTGCTACCGGATGGTGGGCTGTCATGACAGCTCCGCTCGACTTGGACTCGACATTACCACCGTCAAAATGGCCACGACAGATTCTAAGCTCAGAGCAGCCATCTTGGTTGTATCCGAGACTGCATCTCAGGATCCTTCGACCGACAAGTGTATACCCGTTCTCAAGCAAGTCTTCGGCGATCTCGGCAACAACCAATGGGATGTTAGCGAGACCGAGATCGTGCCCGACAACGCCCTTACCATCCAGAAGACGATTAAGAGTTGGACGGACAGGCCTGAGCCTGTCAGTCTTGTCATCACCAGCGGAGGCACTGGATTTGCCACCAAGGATGTTACTCCAGAAGTGCGTGCATCATGGCTGTTCGAATCGAGCATCAAGAACTGATCAATTCAAGGCAGTTACCCCGCTCATAGACAGACATGCCCCAGGCCTTGTGTAGGTAGAGTTGATTGAACAACATTTGTTCAGTGAACTAACAGCTGGCTAGCCATGGCATGTTGACGACCTCGTATGCCGTCACGCCTTGTGAGTTGTATCCCTCTTCCAACGACATGTACTAATATGCGCCAGTTGCCCTAATGGCGAGGCCTGTTGCTGGAGTGAGAAAGCAGACTTTGGTCTTGACCTTGCCTGGGTCCCCAAAAGGTGCCAAAGAGAATCTGGAAGCGGTGCTGAAGCTGCTGCCCCACGCATGCATGCAAGCAGCCGGCGCAGCGTCACGACCGCTCCATGCTGGTGGGGTAAAGAAATTGGAACAAGACGCAGGCGTCTCATCTGGGGGCACTTCTGCTGGTACGCTAGACCAAGAGCCAGCATTACAAGTAACAAGCGACAGTAATAACGTATCATTCCAGGGACTGGACATCACCACCATCACGGGCATGGTCACTCCCATGCTCATGGCGGTCATGCGGCCCCAAAAGCTCACACGAAGCCAGAGGAACGCCCACAGTCAAATGATCCCGCAGCGGGTCCAACGCGAAGATACCGCTCTTCGCCATACCCTATGTTAGCTGTCGATGAGGCCCTGAACCTGATTGCAGAAAAGACGCCAGCTCCTATTGTAGAGAAGGTGCCTGTAGACATGAGGATAGGCGGTTCCGTTCTTGCCGAGGATGTCAAGGCGACTGAATCCGTTCCCGCGTTCCGAGCTAGTATCGTTGACGGGTATGCTGTCAAGATTCCTTCTTCTGGCAAGTTTGAAAAGGGCGTGTACCCCGTTTCCATCATCTCACACGCCCAAGCTGGCGAAGTTCAAGAATTGAAAGAGGGAGAGATTGCACGAATTACCACGGGCGCACCACTTCCGCCTGGCGCCGACGCTGTGGTAATGGTGGAAGACACCGTGCTGAAGACCTTGACAGATGATGGCCAAGAAGAAAAGGAGATTGAGATTCTTACGGATGAAATCAAGCCTAATGAGAATGTACGCGAGGTAGGCAGCGATGTCAAGGAGGGCGAGATTATCCTCAAGAAGGGCGAGGGTGTTACTGTCGTAGGTGGAGAGTTTGGGCTCCTCGCCTCTGTCGGAACGCGAGAGGTATCTGTATACAAGAGGCCAATAGTTGGAGTTTTGAGTACAGGAGACGAGATTATCCCTCATAACAGAGAAGGACCACTTCGTCTAGGAGAAGTCCGTGATACCAATCGCCCTACGCTCATCACCGCCGCACGAAGCCACAGGTTCGAAGTCATTGATCTAGGCATTGCCTCTGATAAGTACGTCCCCATGTTCTTCATCGATTCTGATATCTCTATTTTAGCAAAACTGACATTTCCGCCCAGGCCTGGTACCCTCGAGCAAACCCTGCGCGACGCCATGCGCAAATGCGACGTAATCATCACCTCAGGCGGCGTGTCCATGGGCGAACTCGACCTCCTCAAGCCGACCATTGAGCGCGCCCTCGGCGGCACCATCCACTTTGGCCGTGTAAACATGAAGCCGGGGAAACCCACCACGTTTGCCACGGTCCCCGTAAAAGACAACGCCGGCAGCCCCGTGACCAAATCCATCTTCTCGCTGCCAGGTAATCCCGCCTCCGCCGTCGTATGCTTCCATCTCTTCGTGCTGCCCGCACTGCACCAGCAGGCGGGTATCAAGCCCATGGGCCTACCGCGCATCAAGGTGGTGCTCGAGGAAGATATCCGCATGGACAAGGCAAGACCTGAGTATCATCGTGCGCTGGTGGTGACCAAGGAGGATGGACTGCTGTATGCGAGTTCGACGGGCGGACAGAGGAGCAGTCGCATTGGCAGTTTTAGAGGCGCAAATGCGCTGCTTTGTATGCCCAAGGGGGAAGGTAGTGTGGCCAAGGGGGAGAGGGTTGATGCGCTGCTTATGGGCAAGTTGGGTGAGTTGGAGCGCTGAAGACAATCATATCATGTCTTTGTTAGAACGCTGAAGACGGGTATGTGTGTGTGTGGTGTGATGGGATGAAAGTGCCGTTTCTTGCCAGATGTCAGTCTACGCAAATCTGGCATCTTATTACTCTCTTTCTCAAACCAACTGTTTCTTCTCTTTCCATGCCGCGTATTGCAGTACCTTGACAATATGACGATTCTTGGCTTTCCTCTTTGCCCTTTTCTCCCCTCCCATCTCTCTTTCTCTCTCTCTCTCTCTCTCTCTCTCTCTCTCCCTGGCTCTGTTCTTCACCACTTGAATGCCGAAACCACGACATACAGCCACAGAAAGTTCTTTTTTTCTTGTTTCGCTTGCGAAAGCTCCATATCCATATTCTTATTGCATCTACATACATACATACATACATACATACATACATACATACATACATACATACAACCATCAAACCCAAAATTTTGTATCAAAGACATAAACAGCATATAGAAAGTAAGTAAATAAAATTTTTCTGGTTATACAGTGACCCCCCCCCCCCTGCTGCAAAATGATTGTGCAGAGGGAAAAGTTAGGTCTGAACACATGGGAAACACATGTGTGTGTGTGTGGAATCTATATATAAGTGGTGGTGGTTTCTCCGTGTGAGAAAGCCTGGTAGGGATGAATGTTGTACAAGATCAAGCCCGAGAGTGTGGGGGTTGAATGGAAGGAAAAGGGAAAAGGAAAGAAAGAACGATAACAGGGTAAATACCCCCCCCCAAAAAAAAACAATTTTTCCCTACCTCCTTACTTATATATAGACATCCCTTTCCTCTCCTTCATCTCTTTAGCGTCGGTGTTTTTCTTTCTTTCTTTCTTTCTTCCTCTCTTTCCCAAGGCACGCATAGGCATGGACATGGGAAGACGGGGGGCATTTGGGGGTAAAGACAAAAAACGCGGTTGACGTGCCATGAACTGTTATTATTATTGTTTCTTCTTTACATTTTCTTCGCTGCAAAGCTAATGAACTGCATTTGGGGGGGGGGGTGTTCTGGTAGATTTGGGGGTGGAGGGGGATCTGGGTTGTCATGGTCGTCCATGCGTACAATTGGTACTTACTTTGGTTGGATTTTCTTTTCGGTCCCTCGAAGCATTCGTTGGCGAGGCACTCCTTCTGTATTTGACAAAGGAAAAAAAAAGATGGAGTGAAGTGAGGATGGATGGATGGATGGATGGATGGCCAAGAGTACATAGTGGTATACGTGTGTGATGTATACCTCAGCTCTAGCCTCCATTTTCCAACGGATAGATGAAGGGATAGAAGAATAAAAGCGTGAAAGCGTAAACGAAAGCATGAAAAGAATGGATGGATACTTGGATCCACGCCACGACATACTTAATCGTCACCGTCCACGTCTTCAACCGCCATACTGGGTCTCGCGGAGCCGACACACGACTCGAGGGCTTTGCGGTAGACATTTGTCTTGGACATCTGTGTTTCGTAGTGTTCTTTGAGGCGGCGCTGGCGGCGCTCGCGCTTGTGCAGCCACACGGTGGTGATGATGAAGCTGACGGTGATGCCGGCGAGGAGCGCGCCGAGCGTTGCCGCGATGATGGTCCAGCGGGCTTGGTCTTCGGCGCAGGTGGATGCGGCGGCGGCTTGGTTCATGGATGTCGCGGGGCTGGGAGTTGCAAGTGGGGTTTGCGGAGCTGAAACTACATTGTCTTTGGAAATGGGCACCAGCGGGGATTGCAGGGTGGCGTGGAGAGGCCCTTGGATCCGGGGGGCGACTGCATTGTTGCAGCAGCTTTTGGTGGAGCCCGCGGCCCGGCAGCAGTATTCGCCCATGTCGCAGGTTTGGAGTTGCCATGCTGGTGGGGGTGGTGATGGTGTGGTGTTGGGTTTGGTGGGAGCTAAGTAGATAGTCAGATGCTAGGTACTTGTACTCAAGTACTAGTCCATACTTACCACCAGAACATTGTTGCGGGCATGCTGTGTCTTTTCCCGTGGCATCTGTGCAACCTCTTGAGAAAATCATGCCAACTGTGACATCCTCTGTGCTCATACACAGCCCGTTACTCAGACACACGTCGCCGCTCGCGCAACACGCGCTGTGCTCTGCGTTTGGGTTACACGGTGTGAATGTCTTGTCAAGGGCTGATCCGTCAATGCCATAGCATTGCTGGCTTGCTACGACCGTCGCAAAGGCCAAAAGGGCCGTTGTGAGAAACGAGGATGCAACCATGATTACCAAGACACAGAACAGTAGTATTAGAAAACAAACAAAACGGTTGGAAAAAGGAATGGCTGGGTGTTAGATGGAAGAAAACAAGGCGTAGTGAAGAGTCGCGGTGACTAGCCAGAAAATGAATAAGAAAAAAGCCCAGGAGGACCGAACGGGTTGTGGGATGTTGGAGGAGAGGGCCCACGCAGAGATAGATATCCATCGACTATGACCAGGCCCATGGTGGGTAAGTAGGGCTCGACCACCAAGGAGAGGGAGACATTTAGGCTTGCGGGGCCCTGTCCAGCAAGTGTTTATGCGGCGAGGCCCTTGTATCCGTCAGCCCAGCCCAGCCCAGCTCACGTAGAGTTGGACAAGGCATATCCCAGGCATGCTTTGAAACCACGCGGGCAAACCCGGTCTTGGGACTTGTCACTTTCGAGTACAAAGCACAAGCGTTTTTTTTTTTGGTTGGTTGGTTGGCTAGGGTAACGCTGCGAACCGGCCGCTCTGCAGCTCTGGAGAGAAGCCGTTCGTACCCGGGCAGGCAGCCAAAGGGGGGTGGTTGGGACAGAAGAAGAAAACAAGCAGCAGAAATAATTGGCGACTGAATTACGTACCGGGGCAAGTGAGTGTGTGTGTGAGTGGCGTCGTCATTTTAAAGGGGGGGCGTGCGTGCAGGTGATGTGGAGCTCGAGCGCCTACTACTGCTGCGTGTTACACCCACACACCCACACCCCCTTCGTGTTTTGCTGCATACCGTGTCCACTAGTGGGTTGCTTTTGCCGCATGTTAACATGCGTCTTGTAGAAAAGGCAGTGGAGATGAGAAGGAGGGCGCTGCGCAGCTGATGGTGAAGCGCAGACGTGGTGGTGGTGGTGGTGGTGGTGGTGGGGGATAACCAGGAGAGACAGAGAGCCGAGTGTCCCCCTGGTAAAAATAGGCCAAAGTATAGGATACATGGCACCAGTATGTACGGGGGTACCAGAGGGCTCTTGCGCCCGTAACATGACGTCTGCAGAGCACCTGGGAAATGGCACATTGACTCGCCCTGCTCTATCATTTTACGGCTGCTTGGCCGACGTCGCTTGTGGCATAGTACTGCGACGACGGCGAGAGTGGTGCCGGGAGGGGCATATCTATGTCGAGCCGTCGCTGTGGGTAACCATTGACTTGCCGTGTACATTGGGATAGTATGCAATGCCTGATACACGCCTCGCAGGTTTAGCTCGATTACATGGACCCTGTTTACTGCACCTGGATATATAAAGTTTGCTTGTCTCAAAGCGTGTGCTTTCTACTCGGCCAGAATTGGTCATCAACCACGCGTGCCAGGCCTTGCAGTCGTGCAACCTGCTGCTATGGTACATGGGCGGCGGCGGTATTAGCCATAGACGGACTGGTGGTGACCTCATTAGCTACTTCGAGTATCCTGATACGCTGCCATGTCCGGCAAGCTTGACCTGGAGTTTGGCCAGGGGTTTGCCCGCCAACTGCAGGTTCCTGGACGGCTGTTGATGCATTGACGATGCGGTTGGAGAGGGCAATTGGCTCGCAGCGTCAAGAGACGGGCTGGCTATTGTTGCTGGCCTGAAGGATCAAATGAGATATTGGACCTGAGCATCGCTGTGTGGAGGAGCAACCTGCCGTAAATCATGCGTGCCAAGGCAGTGCAGGACGTAGGCTTGCAAGGTATTTCTCCACTGATATCGCCGCAGGGCATACTGCCGAGCGCTTGAGTTTGCGTGTTTCCCATCCGTTCCACACTACAGGCGAGAAAGTTTGAGCGGGAGGCTGAGGTTGGTGATGTCGGGCAGATGATAGGTCGCGTACGTACCAAGTCTCGGCATCGCGCCACATGACCTCCCCAGCTTCTGTCTGCATCCGTCGCCTCACCAACCACACACACATACACACACATTCACTCTTTTACACTACGCCCCCATACCCATACTAGTCATCGCCGTTGCGGGCGGTGCCACGAACCGTCGGTTGGTTTTTCGCCTACCCCAGAGATAACGGGCAGTACAAGCCAAGCGCTCAGCTCAGCCCAGCCAGCCGCAACGGCTGTTTCTCGCCGTCCCGCATGCCACCCGGAACACGACCAAGAGCACAGTCATTGCCTTGGGCCGTGGCCCTCGAGCGGTGGTGGCTGGCGTTGTCTGGCGATATGATGATCGTCAGTCAGACTCGGATCTCACTCGCCTGTACCCGGTAACTGAAAATCCGGCTACCCCTGGATTGGATCCGAGCTAACGACCCAAAAGCAGTTCCCCCACGCCAGCAACACGTGTGGCCATTGGGCTGTCGGCTTGGATTCGATGCCTTGTCGTCCAATTCCCTCTGACATAGCTACCATTTCCGTCGCCATGGCATGCTACTTACGTCCCGGCCCCGGACGATCCAACACGTCGCCGCTTGTGTACCTACACACCATATATGTATGCACGCCCAAGGACTCGAGGCACATGGATGCGCCAGTTTAGGCCCGACAAACTGATTCCAAGCCACGCGTGAGCACTGAAGATTGCGAAGAGCCAAGACACAAGGCGTGTGTGATGTGCTCGTATCTGACTCAACTCTACTGCTGCCAACGGCCCTTCACTCGAGGGCCCCAGCATCCCTATTGATGCACCCACACCAAGAGTCTGCCATGGGTATTGTGACCTACTGCAAACTCTACAACTGTACTAGTCTGAGGCAATATTCACAGCCTATTCCAGCCCGCCCGAGGTATGCCCATGGCTTTAGACACATGGCAGCGCCGACCGTTACAACTCGCTCAACAATTCATTCACCCTCCGCATCTCGACCTCTGGACCACCGTCTGCCACGTCCCAGTCCAGCAAACTTTGCTTCGCCTTCTCAGCCCAACGCCGTGCATCCTTGAGCATGCCTTGCCCTACGTACACATATGCCAGTCTCTCGTAATCCTCAGCCAGCAGCACTTCCAGGCCTTCCGACTGGGCAATGGCCATGACCTCGGTCTCCCACTCCAAGACTTGGTGCGCATCATACGTATCCGCAGTCAGGTTTTTGAGCATCTGTCGCAGACGAGCGAATCTCACCCGCCGCCGATCGCTGCCGTCAATCTCGTATCGTGACGCACTGCATAGCGAGCATGTACACGCAAAGTTCCACCCATCTTTGTACAGCTCTTGTCGCTCGTCGTAGCTCAGGTCGATGCGGCCGTACGAGATGTTGATTTCTTCCCCCGCAGCAATGTCGCGCTTGGCCTTGACCTCCATGGACAGCGCTCGCGGGATGAAGCGCGCATGTGCATTTGGCTGGCACGCGTGGTTGATGCGGGATACCGATGGGAACACACACATGTATGCACCGTCGACATTGCCGTCGGCCAGCTTGCACGCAAAGGCGTTGGTCTTGACAATGTCCTCGATCTGCGTACCGCCCAAACTCTGATCTAACGCAGCGACCGCCTCACGATCTCGCCCTGGCAGACGGTCGATGGCAGAGCTGAATAGCGTTTTGCCTTGGGCACGCGATACTTGCCGCGGAAACAGAGAACTTGCAATTATGCGTGCAGGATCCAGCAGGATCGTCTCTCCTTTGGCAATAGACTTTGTGGTGAAGAGGCCTTTGCCTTTGCCGGGAACAAGGCGGACTTCGAGGCCACGCCGGGAATGCGAGAGTTTATTCTTCCCACTCGGCAAGGCTACCGAGATCTCGTCCGCTGCACGTGGTGTCGCAATGATGCTCAGGCCGTGGCCGTCCCGTAAGCCGGCAGTTGTGTGTGTGCAGTAGTCCTTTTTCTCCTTCCCGCTGACGCACACGGGCTTGTGGGACCACACCGCGTGCTCAAAGGGCGGCGGCGGTGCCGGCGGCCTGACCTCTGCCGTATTCGAGCCTCCATTTGTAATATTCGTATCTAGACACTGCTGTAACCGGAGTGGCGTCTGTAGCTGTGCTGCCAATCGCGGCGCCGCATTCGCACACTGCAATGATCCATGGGCGACGTGTGACGCAGCCAGGGCGCAGGCGCCTACACCCAGTGCAAAGTAGACGTGTAAAGAATTCATAAGTCAATGGTTGAAATTTAGTAGAAGAAAATCTGTTAGATTTGCATGGCCTCAAAGCAAGAAACACGAGGGTTGTCTATTACTATTCTGTTTTCCCCTGGTCCCCCGCCTGTAACATACTTGTAACACACGCAGTAAGATGTACCCTTTTTGCATACGTACTCGCGCCCACACACACACACACATATATATATATATATATTTTACGACTCGCTCAAACTGCATGTCCCATTGTTCCAGATCCGTTATAATTATTGCACTTGGGCCCCCCTCAGATCTGCCGATAGCCGTGCCAGTCGGGCCCCCGAGACATCGTCGCGTGGTCGCCTTCAAGCATTAGGTAGCCAACAATCCGGTAAGTACGTAACGGGGATTATTCCCGCTCATTTCCAAGTCGGTTCCAAAGTCTTGTTGTAGCCATTGACTATCGGTGACGCCCCAATTCTGGCGTTGTCTCACTTCCTACACTAAAGTTCCACTACGTACTTGAGTAGTACGTACTTACGACTTCTATGGAACGCGCAAAGAACATGCGACACGTGGCTTGCAAAAACCAAGTCAAGTACGTACCCGTCTCTGTCTCGACTTCTCTCTCTCTCTCTCTGTCGCGGCTCATGAGACACGCCAGCTTTTATGGCTATGTTCGAGCCCTTGCAATTGGATTCAAATTCAAATCCAAAACTCAAGTTTGGCACATTGGTGTATAGTCCTCAAATTAAGTACTTGCGCCCTCCGCCCCCCCCCCCC